TATTTAGGAGTTTGGTGAGACATAATATCATTCATCAGGCATTTCTTGAATTTATAACACATGCTGATCCTTCATTCATTGCTGTAAGAAATAAATTATATGTTCATAATATTCTGTTTTCTTTTAGGATATCATGGAGTCACTGAGAGAGGTTGCTGTAGAGATGTTACACACTCGAGAAGGAGCAAAGGTCAATCTTCAATGTGTCTGGAAAGGAACAGCTAAAGTACCTGTACTATTTATATCTCCAGCTGTTTACGTCGTTTGAAATTTAGGACAGGAAAGTTTTTGTGAAATCATTGAAGAGCTACGTTGTTAAGATTTGCAAAGTAAGATTAAAGAAATTATTAATAGTATTATCTTTTTGTCAGGAAGAGCATGGCCATCTTGTTTTGCTTGGAATATTTGACTCTGTTGATGACACTGTTCTTGTATCCAAGACTATCTTAACCGTAAGAAAAATGAGCAAAAATAATGTCATTTATCTATCCTCTCTCTCTCTCCCTTTTCTCTCTCCTTTTCAGGAGATCATAGCTTCTCTTGAAGAGATCTGTCAAGATAAACATGGCCGCCGTGTTCTCCTTTACCTCCTCAATCCTCGCTCCCCCAAACATTTCTCCCACCAGTTCCTCCAACTACTGACACCTGGCGATAACAATCAACACAGGTGGAGTTTTAAAAACTATAATATTATTTTAAAATTTTATATTTAGTAAGAAGCCACAAGACATCAGGTGGGCAGAGTTAAGAGCTGCTATATCTCCACCCCTCATTAAATTAATTTCGGAGAATGTGGTTGAGTGGGCGTGTGAAAAACCTCTTGCTCCACTTGTAATAGAAACTGTGAGATCAGCTGTTGGAGACGTGACGCCTATATATACTACACTGATCAACAAGGGATTAACACGGCCACTTGATACGGATCATGGGATCAATGATTCCAATCAAATGATCACTGATTCGGTGGCTGATTCAAATCAGTGTCATCTCATTGGTGGTCCGTGTGGTCACTGGGTGTTAAAGAAATTGATTGCTATCAACAGAGAAGGTAGAATCAAGAATTAAGACTATCATACATTGCACATCTCTCTCCCTTTCTCCTTCTCTCTCTTCTTCATTAGACTCTACTCCATTATTCAGTGACTTGATAATACAATCAGTACCTTCAGATTATATAAGTTCTTGGGCCACCATTAATAGAGGCTGCTTTGTTCTATCAAGGTATAAGTACAGTTTACACAAGTACATGAGTGTTAACCGCATTTTGTCCAACCCATGAGACCTTTTACAAATAACTGAGTATAAAATGAGACTTGGGTGTGATGTGGATCTGAACTAAGAACAGAGTAGAGCGCTCATCCAATTTTTGAATGGGTTCAATATGCCCCTAGCCCCCTACTACATGTAGAAACATTCAATGATTTATGATAATAAATCATAAATGATTTATTATCATTTATGAGACCGTATACTACACTACTATTATTAATGTGACGTATGTATTTTGTTTTTGTAGTTTGTTGTCTGAAGCTAGCAAAGAGAATCAGGAGAAGTTAAAGGAGTTGCTTCAATCATCAGTTATTGATCAACTAAGAACTAGCAATACTGAAGGAGCTAGTGTATTACTGAAAGAACTATAATCTTAGCATAGATATAAAATTATGAAGATAGGATATAGCCTATCAAAATTATGACAATGTTATTCCACACCCAACCAATGCAAGGTGTGGCTATTAAACTGCAAGACTCAGATAAAGAAAGGAAGATTCATTATTATAAATGATGAGTAGTAATTATAGATTAGTATGTCCTCGTGGAGACCGCCCTAGAGGCAGGACATTTGTAACATTAGCTCCTGCTCCGATAGTAGCTCCTTTAAAAATGTCTAGAGATGATTTCAAGTTTGAGGAAGAGTTCAGTGACTTGAATATTGATTGCCCAATATGTCTGAACATTATTATTAGTGAGCCCCGAAAG